TGCGGAAGGGTCTCTGTGGGCATCGGCGTTTCCGTTAGTGGCGGATCCCTCTGTGCCACACGTGCCGCCCCCCTTCCCGAGGGAATGCCCTCCCTTCCCAAGCCCAGGCCCCTCCACCAGGGAGCTGGAGGGCAGGCCGTGTCCTGAGAGCCCTCAGTCCCAGGGAGACGCCTGCTCGCCTCAGACTCCTCCCCCCCCCAGGCTGGCGGCTCGGGACCACCCACGGGCGCGTGGGACGCTTCCCTTCCGAGCTGGTGCAGCCCGTGGCTGCCCCCGACTTCTTGCAGCTGCCCGCGGAGCCCAGCCGGGGTCGTGCCGCCGCTGTGGCCGCCGCCGTGGCCTCCACGGCTGCTGCATGGGAGGTGGGCCGCAGGAGAGAGGTGAGGCCGGTGGCCAGGCCAGTTGGGTAGAGACCGCAGGGGGTCATCTGACCGGAGGTGGAAGGGAACAAGGTCGGCCAGTCCCGGGGTGGGGTGAAGGGGGTAGGGCTAGCCATTCTGTGACCTGTGGCATGTGACCAGCGATGGTTGGAGATTTGGCCAAATGGGTAGAGAAGGGTGGAGTCAGCAGAAGGACTGCGACCAGGCCACGATGGCAGGATGGGGCCGTGAGGGGAGCAGGGCCGAGCAGGTGGGGTGGTGGTAGCGACGGGTGGAGTGAGGTAAAGCTACGTTGTAAGGGCAAGGTCAGCTCGCCCCGGCATCTGGAGAGACCCGCCCTGGGCAGGGGAGCGCCTGGTGGGGGCCATGGCCACGTGGGTCGGGATGGGCCCACTGGGCATGTGGAGGCTGTGACCTGGTCGAGGGGGTGGGGGTGGGGCAACCTGAGAGCCTGGGCGCATTCACCTGGGGTTGAGTTGAGTCAGGTTTGACGGGGACGGGGGTGGGGGTGGGCGGTTGGACAGGCCTTCCCAGCTCCTGCCCCCTGCAGGGTTCCCCCATCAGGACTGGCTCGGCTGATCGTGGGGAGGACGGGCTGGCTCCCCCACCACGCACGATGCTGGCGTTTGCCCAGAAGTATTTCCGAGACCCTCAGAGGAGACCCCAGTGAGTGGTGACCCCACCCCGGTCCCCACACAGAGGAGTTCCTGCTGGGGCTTCTTGCCGTGTCCAAGGGCAAGGCCTTCCTCTGTGAGGGGAGAAACCTCAGGCATGAGGCCACCCGCAGCCGTGGTGGGAGCCGGAGGGTGGGGGGCGGGGGGAGCCGCAGGCTGCGCCAATGGTCTGCCCCTCTGCTTCCTGTCCTAGGGACGGCCTCAGGCTCAAATCCAAGGAGGGCCGGGAGTCCAGAACCTTGGAGGACATGCTTTGCTTCACCAAGGTGCCAGCCCTAGGCCTCAGTTTCCCCATCTGTAAAATGGTGGTGCAGGCCTTGGAGCAAACAGCCTTGTCCTCAGAGTGACCCCCACCCTCAGCACCTGAGGGCCTGCGAGCGCCTGTCTCCCTGTCCGCCCGGCTCCCTGTGCATGACCTGGACCCCCTGTCTGAGACGGGACATGCCACGCAGCCCCCTCTGTTCGGCCTGCCCCCCATCCTGACGCACCTCCTCCCTGACAGAGCCCGCTCCAGGAGTCCCTCATCGAGCTCAGCGACGCCAGCCTCAGCAAGATGGCGACCGACATGTTCCTAGGTGTGGGGTGGGCTTGACCCTGGGCCGGGGGCCAGCACCACCTGCCCCTGCTCATCACCGCGCCCCTGCTCCTCAGACCCCCCCCCCAGCCAGACATGGGGCTCCTCTAAGAAAGAGAAGCCCCAGCTGCCCCTGGCCACAGCCTCTCAGAGAGGGGCCTCCTGGGGTCCCCGAGGGCGGGCAGCTCGGGTCTGGGGCTGAGTGGGGTGTTCCCTGCAGCCGTGATGCGGTTCATGGGGGACGCCCCGCTGAAGGGCCAGCGCGAACGGGATGTGCTCTGCACCCTCCTGAAGGTCAGTTCGCCCACTTTGCCGTGCGCTCTCTCCCGGTCTGTGACTCGGTTTCCCCATCGGCAACCAGAGTTGCAGGACTTTGGGGTGGGCAGCTTCTAGTGTGGCCCAAGGAGGAGTGCATCCGCCGGAGGGAGGGGCTGGAGAGGGCACGGGGCCTACCTCACACGCCCGCTCTGTTCTCCGGTGCCGGCCCGTGGGTGACCTGCCGCCCTGCAGCTGTGCGCCGAGCAGGAGGCCCTGCGGGACGAGTGCTACTGCCAGGTGGTGAAGCAGCTCACAGACCGCGCCAGCAGCGACCAGTGCGTGAGCCGTTGTGCCCCTGCCCTCCCGTCCCTCCAGGAGCACAGCCCCGCCTCCCGCTGCGGGCCTGGCCCTCCCAGCCTCTCCCCCAGCCCTCTCCTCACTCAGTAGACACAGCGTGCGGACCTGGAATTGCTTGGTCCGAGACCAGCACTCCTGCTCCCGGCGCTTCAGCGTCCTCCCTGTCAAATGGTAGCGATCACGTGTGAGTCCAGGTTACTGGTGGCAGGTGCCAGAAACGCAGTCCAAGCTGGTGTAAGCAGAAGAGGGTCCCGGTGACTGGAGAGGCCGATGTGGGCGCTCAGGCACGGCCAGCGCCCGGTGTCGGCAGCAAGCAGGCTTGCCCTGTGTCCTGGCTGCTTCCTCCGCGGCGATGCCGTCCCCAAGCACCACCCCAGCCATTTGCAAGGTGGCCCACAGAGGCTGTCCCCAGTCCACAGAGGCTGGGGGTGCAGAGCTGTGATTGGCTGACCTGGGTCACATTCCTGTCCCTAAAGCCATCACCGCAGCCGGAGGGAAGCTGAGCTCTCACTTGGCCAGACCTGGCTCCCCTGCGCGGCCACAGCACGCAGCCCTCGTGAGGGTGGTGTGGGCACTAGAGGCCCCACAGGCGAAGCCCTCCCGCGGGGCTCACGGGAGAGCACACAGCCAGTGCGCAAGCATGTGCTGCTCTCATTGCCACTGGCTCACTGTCGGCCCTGTCCTCCCCCCCCCCCCCCAAAAAAAGGAATTGAAATTTTAGGCTTTGCCTGCTCGGCCCCCGGGCCCCG